AACTTTCAGTTTTAACTTTCAGTTTTAACTTTCAGTTTTAACTTTCAAATTTGCATCTTCAACACTTAATTTCTTATCACATTCAGTGAAGGAAAAGCACAGGGATACTTTGTAATGGTCTTGATTTGTAGTGATTTTTAAAGAATTTTGCTGGCTTTACTTTTGCCATCTAAAAGCTGTCAAGAAGTTGAGCATCACCAATTATTAGAAGTTGGAAACATGTCATATTTAATTCAGTCTTATTGGTGTTAACAGAAACTCTAAGTCCAATTGAAAATGTTTGGTTGATCAGACCACATGCGTTTAGAATATTAAATTTTTAAGCCAGTTGGTACATACTTCATCCAAGTTTTTCTTAACCATTTGTGGAATGTTCCAACTATGTTGCAGTCTAATGTGCCTGTTATTGGGAATATTGTTTGTGAGGTCAGATCAGAAACGTTTCAAAATTGCATGTATTTTACTAACCTGTTACGCTGTCAGTTTGTTAGCATCTGTGAAATGAAATTTTGTGTTAACCTAAATGCATGTCTACTTCAGGCCATAAGGACAACTTGGAGCTCCCAAAATCAGGGACAAGGGAAGCAATGAAGCCGAAAGAACAGAAATCAGCGAAGGGAGTCATTCATGATTTGGTACTTTTTTGCGAAGTGTATTTTCTCTCCTTTTCTAGTATTATCCTTCTTTGAAATGTATGCTAATGCCTCATGTCTTTACTAGGGAGTTCATCCTGGTGATCGTCATTTGAGAGCTGTGAATTCTTACGCTGGATTTGCTGACCTTCGTGGCAATCATCTGACTTCTGGGGCACCTGTTCAGGCAGTTTCTTGTAAGTTTTCATCCATGGATAAATTTGCCTGGTACAACGGAGCCCTGTACACATAGGTCTAACTTGTAATGAGAAGCACTGCCTCAACTTTTAAATAATTGACTTTAAATAATAACTTTTAATAATTTGAATTTTAAATAATTTGGAGTATTATGAAGTAGGATTGTGGTCAACAGTTTCTTTCTTCGTGTTTTATTTACCAAGAGTTGACTATGGGCCAAAGTAGACTGTAAAAAGTGTCACTGTAATTCAGTGTAACATAAGAGCTGGAGCACAAATTTCTCTAAAGGGGCAGCTCTTGATCTCCACCTACCACTTGGATTCCTAACACTGAAGCCACTTCTGTATATACTTCATTTGTCCCATGCTCGTTTCAATATGCTATGGTCAAACTTCAAAAACAGGCCTCTTTCCATTCCATTGTATGCAAGTCCGAGGACGAGTAATAAAAACATACCGTCTACTTTTATCTGTTGTTTAATCAATCAAAATTAATGATCAGGTCAAATTGGCAATCTCCTAATACCTGCTCATTTCCTACAGGATGTGAATTTAACCAGTCTACTTTACTAATGTGCCAATGATAGAAATTCAGTGTTTTCTTCAAGGCAATGGCAACTTATTTTAACTTCCAAATTTTAAGAACAAGCCTGTGTCACCATGTTCATAAATAGACTGCTCCAAAAAACAAACTGCAACCTGATCAGAAACAATCCCTTCAGAACCGTTTTGTCTGCTGCCAATCTGGGCTTTGTAGTTTGAAAGTGGACCTGACCTTCAAACTCCAGTTCAGTCTTAATCAACCTTGCTTCTTGAAAGGTTGACTCATTGAATATGCAATCCTTTCCTGATGTGAGAAATCCCAAAATATATTTTTCTCAACAGCAAAGCTGAGAATGAGATCAAGCTTAATTTTTTTGGAGTAGAAAAAGTGCATCAAATTAAACATTCTGCCTCTAAGCATGAAATATTCTAGATTGTACATTGAACTTACAATTGAACAGTACTGAAGTATCTCATGTATTGAAGCAGGTAGGTAGATTTATAACAAATGGAGCCAGAAAAATTATCTATCCCTTTGTGCTAATCAGTGACTAAAATTTGATTTGCATAAAAATGATATTGCATATGACCTTTTTACTATTGATGCATGTTTATGAATGGTTGAGTACTATTATTAAAATATTTAGTTAGCATATGTACCCATTACTGGCATATGCAGGATGTTCTGTGTTTACCTTGTACAGTGTCTAGAAAATTGTATTTGATTTGATTTTGAAACAGGCCACTGAAGTGTTTTGACATTTGAACTTTAATTAGTGTGTGAAGTCCTTGGATAAATGCCAACCTATTCAAGCATTTGGATTTTCTGATTTTTTTTCTCCAGATTTTAACAATGAGTATATTCTTGTGGCAGTATTGAAGCCATTTATAAAAAGTGGAGTCTGAGTGTGAATTGTAATCTTTTTTTTCTGCTTCCCTCAGTGCAAGATAGGGCTGTTAAAGACTGGGTCAGAGCCTCAGCTGAAGATGTAACATTCCACCGAGAGGACTCAAAGGCTTCCCTGCTGGTCAGTCTGATTTTGAGCCTGTTATGAAATAATGTTATGTCAGTTTTTCATTCCTGGAACATTAGTATCACTAGCAAAACCAACGTTATTTTTCATCACTAATAATAGTGAGGAATTCGTAATGAGCTGCCTACTTGAAGTGCTGCAGATTGTATGAATTTATAGTTTTTCATATTTCTTTTGTCCAACCAAGTGGATCATTTTGAAGGTAATTCAAGAGTTGAGCGCATTGTTGGGAGTCTCATGGGCCAGAGTGTGGGGTAAACTAGTTTTATTTAGGTCGCTGAATTCAAATTCCTCAGTGGGATTTGAACTCTCATCGTTGGATCGTTATTCCAGGCCTTTGGATTGCAACTGCTGTAACATGCTCATTAATGATATTTGAGCATTTTATATTTTACCTAATGGAAAACAAACTTTGTTAATAGCTATTTTAGTGGAAATACAGGATAACACTGGATAATATTTGCATAATTGAAATGAACTATTCTGGCCTACTAGTATGATGGTGCTCAATATGAGCCTCCTTAATTTCATCCTAACTGCATTTCCATCTCTTTTACCCTCGCGTTCATCTAGTCTTCCTTTAAATGTATCTATATTATTTACCTCAGCTACTCATGGCTGCGAGTTCCAGTATCACCACTGAGTGAAGAAGTTTCTCTGAATTCTTTAGTGGATGTTAGTAAGGACATCTTCCAGATAAGCCCCAGATTTGGATTTTAAAGAAAAATGATTAGAAGAAAAAGTTGTTTCTTCTTGCATTTTGTTTTTATTTAGTTGCCAGAAGAAAAACAAAATAATGTTATTTCAAATGTTTAAATAAAAGAAGAATCCTACGAAAATGAGACAAACCAGTAACTGATATAGCATTCAAATATCAACAAATAACAAAGTCTAAATGCCATTTGTTGTTCCCAAGATTTATCACTAAATGTGTGACAGAATGACTGACGATGTGATGGAACTCTGCTATCCTGATCTGGTCTGGCTTACATACCACTCCAGACTCAAAGCAATGTCGTTGTGATGGCCTCTGAAATGGCCAAGCAAACCCCTGAGTTCAAGGGCAAATAATAATGGACAACAAGCACTAGCTGTGGGTCCCAACCTGAAATGTCAACTTTCCTGCTCCTCTGATGCTGCCTGGCCTGCTGTGTTCTTCCAGCTCCACACTGTGTTATCTCTGACTTCAGCGGTTTTTGCTATCTGTGGAGAAACGCAACAGGTCTGGCAGTTTTCTGGAACTCCACAAAAGAAACATTGGATTCGATTTGGATAGGTACACGAGTAGGAAAGGCTTAGAAGAATATGGGCCAAATGCAGGCAAGTGAGACTAGTTTAGTTTGGGAAACCTGGTCACTATAGACGAGTTGGACCAAGAGGTCGGTTTCTCTGTCATATGACTCTATGAAACATTAACTCAGTTTCTTCCTCCACAGAGGCCTGCTGACTTTCTCTAGCACTTTGGATCATCTTGTTCATGTTTTTCTTGTTTAATAAATGTTTTATTCTTTGTATTAAAACTATAATGCAGACACTTGGCTGTGTTACCTCCTCAGTTTAAAAAAAAATAAGGTTAGGGTCTAACAAGCCATGTTTCTCTCTGGAACCTGACTTGTCCAATATTGACATCAGCTGAGATTGTAACAGCATTGAGTGGAAGTGCCTTTACAAAAATTATATTCAGATGCAGGAAAGCAAACATCTAATCTAGTAAACGCAGCATTCTTGCTTGCAAGTTTCAACTGGAAGTTGAAAAATGAACCTATATACAAAATGCTGAAAACACTCTGCAGATAAGGCAGCTTTGGTAAAGAGAGGAAAATCATCATTTTTCAGCTTTGATGAATTTATACTTTAGATCAACTGCTTTTAAAGAAATGTATAGTTAGGAAACAGTGGGAAGGGAAAGAACAAAAAGGAGAAGCCTGTGATAGGTTTATGTTTATTCTTCTAGATTCAGATTTCATGATTGGTTTTTTTTTTGTTACAACGTAAGCAATACCTAACACTGAATCAGTCACATTACATTTGAACAAAGTTCTAAAGAACATTGTACTGTACATAATGCTAACATTCGTACATAACATGAGCATTTCTTTTCTCCTTGTAGGACCGTCTTGAAGACAAGCATATTGCAACCAGTTGTCAAATGTAAGTGAATGGAATGGTAATTTCTAGCAGTGTACATCGTCGACAGGATTTACCTTTTTATAGTTGTAACCTATAATGTTACTTTACAACAATTTGAATTTACCCAGAGTATCTGCAATGATCCTATTGACCATCTAAATGAATTTCTTATCCTGACCTGATGCATGCATTTATAAAACTGATCATTTCCATTTGCCGATTTGCAACATTTAACACTTGTTTTGTTGAATAGCTTGAATATTGAACAGAATTTTTTTGAAGATGTCTCAAAAGCTAATAGAGGAGAAATTAGAGAACGAGAGAAAGCTAGCCAGAAATATAAAAATAAAAGCAAGGGTTTATAGGAATATTTGAAAAATAAGTTAATGAAGAGAGCATAGGTCCTACAGTGCATAAGAATGGATAATTAATAGTAGAAAATAAGGAGATGGCAGATGAATTTGACAGGTATTTTACATCAGTCTTCACTGTAATGGATACAACATCCGGCAGGCAGTTGTAACTGAGGAAAATTATACACACCAGGAAAGTGACACTGAGTTTGGAGCTGTCGACACTCAAGGGCCCAGGTCCTGATGGTCTTAATCCTGTAGTATTAAAGAAATGGCTAGTGAAAGATAGTTGATGTCCTTAGATTTGGAAAAGGTCCCAGTATATTGGAAATAGCATATGTAACTCCTTTATTCAAAAAAGCTGAAAGCAGGATACTATAGGCAAGTTAGCTTAACATCTATTTTGGGAATATTATTCTACCATTAATAGTAATAACAAGGTGCTAAGAAAAAAAATCAAGTTAATTTGGTAAAGTCAACATTGGTTTTGTGAAAAAGAAATCATGTTAAATTAACGTGTGCTGTGGATAAAATGTGAATGTCCTGTACTTAAAAGGTTTCAAGAAGGCATCTGATAAGGTGCCATGCAGAAAATAAGCACTCATGGTTAGGGGCAGCCTATTGGTGTGGATACAAGATTGATTCCCATTAGCCAGCCAGAGTTGGCATAAATCGGTCTTTTTCAGGTTGTCAAGATGTAACAAGTAGTGTCCCCAGAGATTCAGTGCTAGGACCTCAACTGGTTACAATTTATATAAATAACCTGGATGAAGAGACAGAAGGTATAGCTGCCAATTTGTGAATGAAACAAATATGGGTAGGAAGGTCATGAGGAGGCATCAAAAGTTATAGATTGATTAAATGAATGAGCGAAGAAGCAATAAAATGTAACATGGAAAAACATGAAATGGTCCAATTTGACAGGGAGGATGCAAAAGAAACATTATCAAGTGCTGAGAGATTGCAGTACTCTGAGATGCAGAGGGATTTGAATACCCTTGTACGTGAATTTTAAAAGGCTGGTGTGCAGGTACAGCAGGTAATTAGAAAGGTAATTGAAAGTTGCTGTCACAGTGCACTGGAATAGTGCACTCGAAATCAAGCCTCACCATTCCTGGAGTCATCACAAATGGGAAAAGATTTACCATGTTATCTAAACTGCTCAATTTATCTGACTGCCAAACCCAGGTTAAAAGTAAACATCTAGGTTTTGGTACTTAATAAGGAAACAGCTGTTTATTAAAATTTAATTTCAACCAGTGGCAGAAAAGAAATATAAATTACTAATTTATAACTTTACCCCTTTTAAAAATCCCACAGACATATAAAGAAACGCAAATAAGACACAAATGTTGTGGGTGGGGAAGAACCAAAAATAAACGTTAGTGGAGTGCAGTCTGGCACTTTGTCTAGACTACAAATGTCGATGAGATGTTTTACATTCGTTTCCTTCATGTTACTTGAATAGCCTGTTGAGGATCCAGGCTTGTGGACATACTAATTCTCAATCTTTGTTTCATTGATGGAGAAATTTGCCTTTGTGTGTCTGGTCGTGGTTTTCCCTCTTGCCTTTCAAGAAGGGAATTTGCAGAAAGAGAGAAAGAAAGTAACATGCTGCTTGGGATTTTCTTTTACTTTGCCAGTCACAGAAGAGAGCAAGTCAAATGCTTGCTCCTTCAGGCTGTATTGTCCAAACACAAAGCTGTAGCTACTCACTCAATCAAAAAGTTGTTACTATGGTGAGTACTCCTAAACACACACAACTGCTCTTGGTTGAAAAACCAGTCAGACATTCGTCACTGGGCAAATGTCCTAGACACACACCCTTAGAACGGAGGGTTCTAGCCTTCTCCCCCACTGCTTGAACAAAGCAACATTGTAGATACAAAATGCAATGCGTTCAGGTTGCTTGTGTTTTTTTAAATGCAATATTATTTTCCACAGTTCCTGGGTCTGAAGCAGTATTTTTTCATACTTTTAAGTTCATAGCCTAAAATATTAAAGTAATCTTTGCAATCTTTAGGGGAATTGAGTGCAAAAGGAAGGCAGGTGTGCTTCAGTTATACGGGCACTAATGTGACCACATCTGGAGTACCTGGTACAGTATTGGTTACCTTGTTTAAAGAAGGATGCATGGAGGCAGTTCAGAGAAGATTGATCAGATTAATATCAGGAATGTGCAAGACCTCTTATGAGGAACAGCTTGTAGCTGCTGGAGTTTAGAAGAGTAAGAGGTGACTTGGTTGAAACATAAAATCATGAAGGAACGTGATGGTAGATACAATTGGGATGTCTGCTCCAATAGGGAGAATGTAGAAGTAGGAATTACTGTTTAGGAGTAAGGGATCACTTGATTGAGGTGATTTTTTGTTTCCCCCCTCGGGGTGGTGAGTCTTTGAAATACTGCCTGAAAAGGTAGTAAAAGGTAGTGCCTTTGAATATTTTTAAGGCATCAACCTGTTAAGGAAGGGGGTGAAAAGCTATAGGGCTCAGTAGGAATGCAAATTCGAGGTTACAATCAGATCATCCATGATTGTATTAAATAACAGAGTCAGCTCAAGGAGCTGAATGGCCTACTCCTATTTCTTACGTAATTTAGTTACTAGGGCTATCCTGTTCAGCACTGCAAGTGAGAAGCTTTATAATTTCAGGGAAAATAAATTTGTCCAAGCTAGATTTAGTTTTCTTAATTGTAGCATTTTCTCTGATCATCCTTGGAGAGTTGAAATTAAAAATAAATTTTCATGCCCAGATCAGAAGCTGTAATTTCATTGCATCTATTCATGAGTAATTCAGTCAGAAATCATGCTCTGCACCTGTACAGCATGAATACTGACCTTCAAGTTGAATAGAATTTGTTATAATCAGTTTCTGATGGCAAATTTCCCCATAAAGGGCACATGTTAGGATGTCCCCTTTACTAAAAACAGGAAGTTATGTAAAATCCCATCTATTATCATCTTTAAATTATGTGTAGTTCTTACAAAGACCTTTCCAATAGTTTCTGTGTTTATTGTCGGATGCCTTTCCTTCCTTTGCACAGTGCCTTTGAGAAACTTTTCTATGTTAAAGATGCAAGACAAGGACTGTGTTTATTATTTAGTTGCTGCAAAGCCAAAACATTTCCATCTAATAGGATCTAGTCTTTCTGGAAAGGAGACTGACAGTTGTCACAATATAAAAGACTAATCTTTTTAATGGCACAAACATAGTACAGTGAACAATGTCACCTCAAATTTGTGTTCAAAATTAATGTGTAACGTCCAAATGTGTTAAACTTCAGTATGAGCAAGACCGATTTGTTAGCGAATCAACTTGTATTGGATAACATGTTTCTACATGTTTACAGAATGGATTCAATATACATTGTTTCTGGCCACAAAAAATGTAAAATCAAACCGTTCACTTCTGTATTTCAGGGTTGTTGGTGAAGATGCCTTAAATGGTAAGACTTACATTTCAGTTTGGTTTTATGTCTCATGTTTTCCAAGAAATGTAGCATTTTAAGAATGCAAGTTATCTTGATCTAATACATTGTTAAAAGGCTGTGAGCCTTGGCGTTTGGCTTTCACCTGTTTCATTTTGAAAATTTAAATGACACATTAACCTGTAGGGCACACCTTGTTTTACTGCCCAAACTGTTTTGTGCTCATGAGCCACATTCTAATGAATGTTAAATTTGTTGATGCTCAATGTGTGGAGTTCAAATGGATTTTCATAAGTGAAATAACATTGTTCTAATATTCCAAATCTAGTATAAACCTCTAAAACCTAATTCCAATAAGCCTTTAACAGCTAAGCACTTTACAGTCTGCTGCATCTTGAGTGAGTGTACCCTGTCCAAACGGCATAATTGCATTCCTTTTGAGTGAATTTTGGAACATGTCCTCTACAACCACCTTAGTCTTATTTCTTACATTAGCCTTGTTTAATACTGCAGCTGTTTCTGCATTACTGACTTGTCCTATGCAGGCAAAACCCATTTCAAATGGGTCATTCTGTACAAAATCTGTATAAAATCAGCCTTGAATGTGGGGCAACGCCTGAAGTATTTGTACTGGACCAGCATGGAAACCTGCAAGAGTTAACTTTACAACAAGCCCACAGACACTTTTTCTCTTATGTTCCCTCACGTTCAAATGCACATCAAAGCAGTAAGTTCTGGCCTCAACAGCAAAATGAACACCATTAACTCTCCCTCAGAGATAGTAGGAACTGCCGATGCTGGAGTCTGAGATAACCAGGTGTGGAGCTGGATGAACACAGCAGGCCAAGCAGCATCAGAGGAGCAGGAAAGCTGACGTTTTGGGTCTGGACCCTTCTTCAGAAATGGGGGAGGGGAAGGGGGCTCTGAAATAAATAGAGAGAGGTGGATAGAGGAGCAGGTAGGTGGAGAGAAGACAGACAGGTCAAGGAGGCGGGGATCAAGCCAGTACAGGTGAGTGTAGGTAGGGAGTTGGGATGGCGGTTGGTCAGTGAGGTGGGAGGGGCGGATAGGTGGGAGAAAAGACGGACGGGTCAAGGAGGCGGGGATGAGCTGGGCTGGCCTTGGGATGAGGTCGGGGGTGGGGAGATTTTGAAGCTTGTAAAGTCCACATTGAGACCATTGGGCTACAGACTTCCCAGATGGAATAGGAGGTGCTGTTCCTCCGGCCTTCGGGTGGCCTCGTTGTGGCAATAACCCTCTCTCCTTCCTGGACCTCTCCGTCTCCATCTCTGGTGACTGCCTCGAAACCGAATGTCTATTTCAAGCCCACTGACTCCCACAGCTACCTAGACTACACCTCCTCTCACCCGTCTTCCTGCCAGAATGCAATCACCTACTCCCAATTCCTCCGTCTCTGCCGCGTCTGCTCCCAAGATGGGGCATGGTGTCTTCCTATTTCAAGGACTGTAACTTCCCCCCTCAATGATCGAAACAACTGCATCTCTAGCATTTCCCACACTTCTGCCCTCATCCCCTCCCCCCAACAAAAATAAAGACAGAATCCCCCTTGTCCTCATATATCACCCCACCAGCCTCCACATCCAACATATCATTCTCCACCACAATCCAACCCCACAACCAAAGATATCTTTCCCACCCCACCCCTATCTGCCTTTTGTAGAGACCGTTCTCTCCGCGATGCCCTCATCCGCTTTATACTTCCCACTAACCCCACCGCCCCGGCACCTATTCCTGCAACCACAGGAAGTGCTACACCTGCCCCTACACCTCCCCCTCTCCTCCATTCACGGCACAAAACAAATCTTCCACATCAGACATGGGTTTACCTGCACATCTGTCAACTTGGTCTGCTGTATCTGCTGCTCCCAATGTGGCCTCCTCTACATCGGTGAGACCAAGCGAAGGCTCGGAGACCGTTTTGTAGAGCATCTGTGCTCTGTACGCAACAGATGACAACACCTTCCAGTCGCAAACCATTTCAACCCCCCCCCCCCCCCCCCCCCACACTTCCTGGGTGACGTCCATCCTGGGCCGCCTCCAGTGTCACAAAGATGCCACCTGGAAACTGGAGGAACAGCACCTCCTATTCTGCCTTAGGAGCCTACAGCCCAATGGTCTAAACGTGGATTTCACCAGTTTCAAAATCTCCCCACCTCAGGCCTCATCCAATGACCAACCCTCCCTCTCGTCCCTGCCTCCTTGACCTGACACAACCTGTCCATCTTCTCTCCCAACTATCCGCTCCTCCCACCTCACTGACCAATCCCCACTACTGCCTACCTGGACTCTCCTATCACCATCCCGTCTACCTTCCTCAGCCCCACCCCTCCTCTCTCTATTTATTTGAGTTCCCTTCCCTCTCCCCATTTCTGAAGAAGGGTCCTGACCCGAAAGGTCAACTTTCCTGCTTCCCTGATGTTGCCTGGCCTGCTGTGTTCCTCCAGCTCCACACTGTGTTATCTCTGACTCCAGCATCTGCAGTTCTTGCTATCTCTCACCATTAACTTTCTGTATCATTGCTCGTTGGGTTGCTTTGATATCAGTATGGAAACCTGTTGATAATATTTGTACTAAATCACCCAAATCATCTGCAAGAGATTCAAAATGTGTATCCATTAAAATAAATGGCTTTAATGCTGTCTTAGGACTTTGAGTTCCAAATTAAATCCCTCTCTCTTAATGTCTGTTGAGAGTAGCTGTTTCATATGTCTTTTCATGTCCATTTGTTTCAGCACAACACTTTTACAATCCTCAATCTCATGCAAGATACAAGAAGATGGGAGGTGAGATATACTGACATTTTTCACAATTTTTTTGTAAAAAATATTGAACAAAAATATGTTGGCTTTTGTTTTTAAACAGAGCAATATTTTTGGAGAATTCTTCAGGGAAGATGATAATCCTGTCTGATATGTCCATAATTAGTATTTATAGGAAAAGATACAAGGTGTGATAGAAATATATACAGGGCCTTGGTGAGACCACTCCTTGAGTATTGTGTACAGTTTTGGTCTCCTAGTCTGAGGAAGGACATTCTTGTTATTGAGGGAGTCCAGCGAAGGTTCACCAGACTGATTCCCGGGATGACTGATGTATGAGGAAAGACTGGATTGTCTGGGCTTGTACTTGCTGGAATTTAGAAGAATGGTGGGGGGAGTCTCATAGAAACACACAAAATCCTGATGGGACTGGACAGGCTAGATGCGGGAAGAATGTTCTCCATGTTGGGGAAGCCCAGAACTAGGGGTCACAGTCTAAGAATAAGGGATAAGCTATTCAGAAGTGAGATGAAGAAGAATTTCTTCACTCGGAGGGTTGTGAACCTGTGGAATTCTCTCCCACGGATAGCTGTTGGGGCCAGTTCACTGGATTATATCCAAGAGGGAGCTGGACATGGCCCTTGCAGCTGAAGGGATCAAGGAGTATGGGGAGAAAGTGGGAGTGGGACACTGAAATTGCTGAAAAGTCATGATCATATCGAATGGTAGTGTAGGCTCAAAGGGCCGAATGGCCTACTCCTGCACCTATTTTGCGTTTCTATCAAAATTATACTTCCTTCTGTTGCAAGAATTCAGTTTAATTTTATTTGAAAAAGATCTAATCTTATTTTTTATCTTCTACCTCAGTGATTGGATCTCCTTTCAAGCCTGTACTGGATGTCAATTACTATTACTCAGGTCAGAATTACTAAATAAATAATAAAAAAATACATCCTTCATGAAAGATGCCTCAATAAATTGGCTAATTGAGATATGTGTATTTTTTTTTAACAGCTGTTGAGAGGAATAATTTGATGAGGCTTTCTCAGAGCATTCCCTTCACTCCCCTCCCAAACAGAGGTGGGTAGAAGTAGCATTGAATCCAGGCAGAACTGATGTTTTTAACTAGATTGTACTGCGTTTAGCCATTCATTCAGCTAACACATTCTACTGCTCCGTATTCAACATCTTCTGTTAAATATGTATAAAACTTACGATTCTTCTCATTCATACTACATGAAAATAACTTTTATCAAAGCTCAGCAGGTCTGGCAGCATCTGCGAAGAAACATCAGACCCTTCCTCAGAACTGGACCCAAAACATTAACTCTGATTTTTCAGCACAGATGCTGCCAGACTTGCTGAGGTTTTCCAGCAACTTCTGTTTTTATTCCTGATTTACAGCATTCTCAGTTTTTTCGGTTTTTACTTTTATCAAAGTGTCTTGGAATCATCAACTGCAGTCTTAAGATTTCTACCTAACAAATCTTAGTTTACCTTTAAATATTTTCCCTGATCTGTTGTTAGTTTGCTACTGTTTCCTTTAAATTCTCCTTAAGCAATTTTCTGTTGTGTTGCTCATTTATCAGGTTGTAGTGTGCAGTCACTAGTCATCACTTTTTTATGTAGTTCATTTGTAAGGTTTTTATTTTCTGTACCCTTGAAATGTGTAGTGGTTACATGCAACTGACCTCCTTACTGACCTGCATCACTACGGTGACCAGCAGCTAAAATATGCAGAAGCAGATAGTGGGAAATTGCTACTTTGTCCGTTTTGAAGAATCTTGTTGGATTTCACTCCCAATAATGGACAGAGACCTCCTTCAATATGTAGGGATTATTAGATATGAATTCCTTGACTTCACAATTCAAGGTATAATACACCAGATCTCTAAAGCATTGATGTACAGTGTATTTTTTTAACAAGCATCAATGCCAGTATTGTTTGCCTTAGACTATGCCGATAGAATGATTTCTTTCCCCTGAAACACTACTCTCGTCAATCCACTCAGTAACTATGTAGTTTTAGGACAGAGTGTAATGTCTTGGCAACTTCCATCTTTGTCAAAAATATTACGTTTTATCCTCTGTATTACTAGGGAGGCATTTTAAAATGACTGACATTTGGGTTTACATTTATTGCTGAAATACATTGCACAGTTTGGAGAAGTATGTAGGCGTCTAAGTTGTAATATCATTTTATTTATTAGTAAATTGTCAGGTTTAGACCTGCTGCTGAAATTTTGGCACAGCGTCCCCTCACCTCTGGCTATCTTATAACCGTGTCATCTGATTACTGATCATACTGTCAGCTGAAATAATTTGTCCTCATTTACTCTATCAGAGCCCTTCATGATTTTGAACCTCTTAAATCTTATCTTACCTTTTTTATGCAAAGAACAATTCCAACTTTTCTACTGTCCACATAACTGGCATCCATGCCTGGTGTTTTTCTAATGAAACCTCTCTTCCCCTCTTCTAAGCCTTTGATACGCTCCAAATGTATAGATTGTGCAGACTCCAGCTGTGGCACACCCTTTTTTCAGTTATTGAATTTATTACTGTCATTTTGTTATTTCTTTTAAAATCCATTGCTTCATATTTCTATCATTTACTTACATCTACCATGTGTCTGACCTTCTCCTTCTGCGGTGTGTTTGACTGTTATCTTCTAACTCTGGAGCTATTTTCAGTATCCTGAAGTCATGCATGTTAAATTCTCGTTATTGTTCAGGAGGCCAAGATCAGCAAATATTTTAATTATGGAGCAAATTATTCAACTTAAAACATTTACTTTGTGGAATGCCTTAATTGCCTCTTTGCTGGGTATATCAGGGAGGTTGAAGATCCCTTTTGTTCATAGGGTGAGCCCAGTGAGACATTGGACAAAATAGATCTGAGTTATGAAAAGAATATTTTATTTTTGTGCAATTCAATTGAATTGCAAACAGAGTATTTTGAAATGTGGTTAGCATGGTTCAAGAGTATTTGGATGGTTGGTCTGTCTGTCAGTTAGTCAGTCTGTCATTTCATTAACTTAGCCTTATCAGCCAGTGCTGTACAAATTCAGGTTACAGCACCATCTACTGGAATTGATGTGCACACACTGCAAGATTTGTTTGAATTATAGAATATAGAACATAGAACTTACAGCACAGGAACAGGCCCTTCGTCCCATAATGTTGTGCCTAACATGATGCCAAATTAAACTAATCCCTTCTGCCTGTCCTTGGTCCATATCCCTCCATTCCTTACATGTTCAAGTGCTTATCTAAAAGTCTCTTAAACACCCATATCACATCTACCTCCACCACCACCCCTGGCAGCACATTCCAGACTCCTACCACTCTGTGTAAAATACTTGCCCCTCACATCTCCTTTGAACTCCCCCAAGTTAGTTTTAGACATTTCAACTCCTGGGAAAAAGATTCTGACTGTCAACTCTATCCATGCATCTCATAATTTTATAGACTTCAATCAAGTATCCCCTCAGCCTTCGCCGCTGCCGAGAAGACAACCCGAGCTTTTCCAGTCTCTCCTGATTGCCCGCACCCTCTAATCTGGGCAGCATTCTGTTAAATCTTTTCTGTGCCCTCTCTAAAGCCTCCACATTCTTCCTGTAATGCGGCAACCAGAATTGAAGGCAGTACCTCAAGCATGGCCTAACCAAAGTCTTATAAAACTGCAACATGACATCCTGACTCTTGTACTCAATTCTCCAACCACTAAAGGCAAGCATGCCGTATGCTGCCTTTACAACCCTATTTACTTGCATGGCCACTCTCGGGGAGTTATGGACTTGAACCCCAAGATCCTTCTGTACATTAATGCTGTTCAGGGTCTTGCCATGAACTGTATACTTTTCCTTAACATATGATCTCCAAAGTGCAGCACCTCACACTTACCCAGATTAATCTCCACCTGCCATTTCTCTGCCTGTATTTGCAACTGGTCTGTATCCCACTGTATCACTTGAAAAAAAATTCTAAACCATCCACAACTCGAGCAATCTTTGTATCGTCTGCAAAATTACTAACCCGTCCATCTACGTTTTCATCCAAGTCATTTGCATATATCACAAATATCAGAGGTCCCAGTACAGATCCCTGCGGAACACTGCAAGTCACAAGCCTCCAGGCTGAAAAACACCCTTCCACCACTACCCTCTGTTTTGTATGAGCAAGCCAATTCTGAATCCAAGTGGCCAAATCACCATGGATCCCATGCATCTCAGTCTTCTGGATGAGCCTACCATGAGGGACCTTGTCAAAAGCCTTACTAAAATTCACGTAGACAACATCCACTGCTCTACCCTCATTGCTCACCATTGATTTCCCTTCTTGAACAGAGGAACAATATTAGCGACTTGCCAGTCCTCCGGGACCTCTCCAGTGGCTAATGAGGATACAAGGATCTTGGTCAAGGCCCCAGCACTCTCCCCTCTTGCCTCTCTCAATAACCAGGGTAGATACCATAAAGCTCTGGGGTCTTATCCACCTTAATGCTCTTCAAGAGTCCCAACACCACTTCTTTCTTGATCTGAAAATGCCCTAGCATATTAGCATGCTCCACACATATCTCACTATCCTGGGTGAATACTGATGCAAAGTACTCATTTAGGATCTCGTCCACATCCTCTGTCACCAAGCACAAGTTCCCTCCTTTATCCTTGAGTGATCCTACCTTCTCCTGAATTACCTTGTAAGTTATTTTAATCCTTTTAATATACGTATAGTATGCCTTGGGATTCTTTTTCACCCCACTTGCCAAGGTCATTTCATGACTTGAGTTCTTTCCAGTTTTACTTGTATTCCTCACGGGTCCTGTCTGATTTTAGCTTCCTAAACCTTACATGTGCTGCTTTTCTCATTTTAACTAAATTCATAACCTCCCTCGTTATCCAAGGGTCCCTTACCTTACCATCCTTGTCCTTCCTCCTTACTGGTACATGCAGATCCTGAACTCTGATCAGTAGGTCTTTAAACAATTCCCACATGTCAAATGTTGACTTGCCTGATAACAGCTCCTCCCAATTAACATTCCCAGCTCCTGCCTAATAGTGCCATAATTTGTCCTCCCGCCATTTAATATCTTGCCACAAGGTCCTGACTTATCGTTATTCATACCTATCTTAAAGCTTAAGGAGTTCACTTCATAGAAATCCAGAAACATGAGCAATTTATAACAAGTGAAGCCTTTTTGCAAATATATTTCTACACATATGTGGTTGAGGAACAAAGGCTCATGATGCAATATGTGAGGATCATTTAATGGACAGACAGCAGGAGGAGTAGCCACTAATTTTCAGACTGCAAGTCGCTATTGGTAGAGTGTCCCAGGAATTAGTGCTTGGGCCTCAGCTATTTACAAATGATTGATAATCTATACTGATGAGCTAGATTTGGGGATGGGGAATGTGATATTATCAGAAAACATGAATAATACAAAGCTAAAGAGGGAACTTTGCTGTAACGAGGACACTAGACCACAGATTGCAATGGTGAGTGGACAGGAAGGTGACAAACAGAAAGCGATGTAGGAAAAGTGAAGCTATCAACTTTGGTCGGGAGAAATAGAAAGAAAGGCATAACAAAGCTTCAATCATATTAATTCATGGCTAAAAGGGTTCTCCTGTCAGAAGAGACTGAGTAAGAAGGACTTTGTAAAAGTATATCCATCTCTATCAAATTCTGTATTTAGAACAGTACAGCACAGGAATAGGCCCTTCGGACCACCAAGACTGTGCAGAACATAATGCCTTTCTAAACTAAAAACTTTTTGCCTCTACCTGTATTCCCTCTATTTCCACATGTATTGGTGTATCTATCAAGATACCTCCTTAAACATTGTTATCCTGTCCACCATCTCCACCACTTCTGGCAGTGCATTCCAGGCACTTACCGTCCTGTGTGTAAAATAAAAACTTACCTCTTGCCTCTCCTTTAAACTTATCCCCTTTTACATTAAATTTATGCCCCCCAGTAATTGACATTTCTACCCTGGGAACAATAGGCTCCAACTATCCATTCTATCCATGCCCTTCTATCCTTTCCCCACCAAGCCCCTGGCACTGAGTCCCAGTCAATATATGGGAAGTTATACCACGACAACCCTATTGTTTTTACATTTTTCATCAGCTGTCCACATTCCTGTTCCTCTATCACCAACAGGCTATTGGGAGGCCTGTAATACAATCCCATCAAAGTGATTGCATCCTTCCTGTTCTACCCACACGGCCTCACAGCATAAGCCCTCTGAGGTGTCCCCCCCTCAGTACAGCTGTGATATTCTCCCTAATTGGTAACACAACTCTTCCAGACCCCTCTATTATGCCCGAAACATCGGAATCCTGGAATATTAAGCAGCTAGCCGTGTCCTCCTCTCAACCAAGTCTCTAAGAGCTACGGCATTATAGTTATATTTATTAATCCAAGCTCTGGGATCATCTGTCTTACCTGTCATACTCCCACATTAAAACAAACACATCTCCAACCACCAATCCTGCTGTGCTCTGTAACCACTCCGTCTGATCTTCCTCATGGTCTTGCTGGCCTCGGTGTCTTGACTGCTCTTGTATCATTTTACATGCTGACCTATTGCTCTGCCCCCACCACGCTATTATGATTATTTCTAATCTTCCTGTGCATACCTTGTTTCTACTTTTTAGCCTTTGGTTGTTTAACCCCATGATACATTAGTTTAAATGCTCTCCCATCATGCTGATTAATCTGCTGCAATGATGCTGGTCTCTGTTTTGTTACACTCAAAGCAAGTGTCTTGATAAGTCCCACTTGCCACAAAACTGGTTATGTGTTCTAAAAGGTCTGCCTTCTGCACCAGGTTCCTAGCCACGCGTTAACCTTGTTTTCATCTTCAGTCTCCCCAAGTTAGATTTTTGGCACTAAAGTCTCAAAGGTTTATGGCAAATCAGGCAACAAAGTAACATAGTGGCATATATCAATAATGCTGTTTTTGAATGGCAGGGCAGGGTTGCAGGCCATATAATAGAGCCCTGCTCCTGTTTGTTATGCTGTTAAATCATAGAGGTGAAAAGAATAAGAGAAAGACAGCATGTATCATGCTTGAGTTTAAATGCCAGCATGTTGGAAGCAAAGTGAGAAATTCTCAGACTTTTTTGATCCTGGGGAAAACATGTATTTTAGTTGGAGACTGCAAATTCCTGATGATTTTAACACAAAAGCAATGATGTGATGGAGTATTTTTTTTTGTTTTTGAAGCGTGTTTTCTTGCAGTTCAGAGGAACAAATGTAGATCATTAAGGCAACTAATGACCACATAATATATTCGAGAGATACAACTGAAAAAGGAGGTTGCTGCCTGCTGCTTTGTTGTTCTGTTATGGATCTGAGCTAAACTTCCTCACACTTCACATTTCTCTTGTGTTGAAGGTGAACCTGTGACTATATATAGGCTGGAGGAAAGCTCACCAATCAGTCTGAACAATAGCATGTCATCCTGGTCCCAACAAGGGCGATGTGCCAAGATTGAGTTTTTAAGCAAAGAAGAAATGGGAGGGGGATTGAGGCGAGCCTTAAAAGTGGAATGCACGTGGGCAGAGTTCGATATTCTGAAACCAGGTCAACTGTATATTGTGAAGTCTTTTCTTCCTGAAGTTGTGAATACATGGAAAAGAATCTACAGGGAAGATACTGTGTTACACCTGTGTTTGAAGGTAAATTTACTTTATGCTGAAATATTTATTAATGCCTCAAGAAGTTGGCTGTAGCTCTGTTTAAGTTTTGTAATCATGTTGCTAATTTTGCCTTATAATTTTGTGCCCCTTGTAAATATTAAGATGTGCAATCCAGTGACTGTCAATTTACAGAAAAGAAGCTGACCCAGCTTTATCAATTGAAATGATATATTTCTCAATAGTTTTATAATTGTAATTTTTTACTTGTGGAAAGGTTGTAGACCTGAGTATGTTTGAAAATGTTGGAAGAAAGGCACTAAATGATCCTGGAGTTGTTCCTGGAACATGTAATCCAGCCACACCGCATACCCTACACATTATCGTGTATTTGTCCTGCATGGTCTGAGATGCCCATGGCATCAGTTATTGATTGTTTGAAAGTGGTTTATCAATGAATCTAGTATTAAAAGATCTGTTGCTTGTTGGGTGAATGTTGTTAACATAAAAGAGGTACTTGTGGATCTGGACTCTGCAAAGTTCATCTTTCCTATTGTCCTGTGCAAATTCTGTTCATATATGGTGCATTGTAAATGTCAATGAATACAAATTATTGCAGGACGGTAGCTCAGTGGTTAGCACTGCTGCCTCTCAGCGCCAGGGTCCCGGGTTCGATTCCACCCTCAGGCGACTGTCTGTGTGGAGTTTGCACATTCTCCCCGTGTCTGCGTGGGTTTCCTCCGGGTGCTCCAGTTTCCTCCCACAGTCCAAAGATGTGCAGGTTATGTGGATTGGCCGTGCAAATTGCCCATAGTGTTCAGGGATGTGTAGCTTAGGTGTGATTATAGGGGGTTGGGTCTGGATGGGATGCTCCAAGGGTCAGTGTGGACTTGTTGGGCCGAGGGGCCTGTTTCCACACTGTAGGGATCCTATGATCTATGATGATTCTAAAGTAATTTGAATATTGATAAAGGATAGTGGTTGGAACCTTTCCAAATTCCACCAGTGAAAAACTAGTGTGGAATGATTTAAACAAAATTACTAGGACAATGCTGAACTCAAAGCATCCTGCATTGAATCCAAACGAAAACCTTTGTGGAATATTGAACATTGGGATGGTTTAAAACATTGGTGTTGTTGCTACCAGACAGCCTGTAGAATGCCAAGTCGCTGTTGCTATGGATACTTCCAAAATGTTAGAATAATGTAGTAGGCAAGTAACTGTGGAGTTTACAGTAGCAGCAGCTAAGGTTATTGATGTTAGATTTGATAGGTTGGGCAGTGGCTGCAGATGGTGTTTATTGAGGTTTGAGGTTGCTGTCAATGAGAAGCTAAAACCCATGTCTCTTCAGCTCTGAGGTAGCCCTGTCACATCATAGAGCTTCACTCTAGAAACTTTTGAGACTGGCACTTCAGTGCAGTACCAAGGGAATTCTGGACTGTCATTTGGACAACTCCTTGCAAGCTGCTACAGCAGATCTAATTCTAACATTTTTTATAACCGTTCTATGCTTTTCAACTTAAATTCTAAATCTGTAAAAATTACGAATAATGTTCTTTTCAAATAATGTAACCTGCAATGTAACTTGTATGCCTCTAAGTCTTTTTGATGTGTACATCCTTTGCTTGCTGTGCCCTGCCTGTACCGCTCGTAAGCAAAGCTGTTCACACTGTATTTCAGTACATGTGACAATTAATCAATAAAATGAAGACCGGATTACTCTTTGAACATGCAGGATTCCACGGCAGTATTCAAAATAGAGCTAGTGAGGCCACAACTGGAATATTGTGTGCAGTCCTGATCACTGTATTACAGGAAGGACATAATTGCTTTGGAGAGAGTGAAGGCAGGGTTTACTAGAATGTTAAAGACAGGAGTTGCTTGGAAAACTCAGCAAGTCTAGCAGCATCTGTGGAGAGAAAGTAGAGTTGACATTATGGATCCAGTAACACTTGTTCAGAACTAAATAGCATGACCGCTTGAAAAGTTACCAGATGCCCTGAAAATCTAACTAAAAGAATCAAGGTAGAGTGAATGAAGCTGGCATTTTTACTGTTCTCCTTTAATAGAAATGCAACAGACTCCAAATTGAGTGTTATACATACAGCACTTTGAGAAGCAAAATTAAGGGATATTTTAGATTTTCCATGCAAAACACAATTTTGCAATGTATTAAAAAGTGGCCTTTATCAGAAGATTATTCTGAATTTCAACACTGCAGTGGATCATTTTGACAAATTTATTGAAGAAAGATCAGAAGTTTGAACGAACAGAAGCTTGTCAGTGTGTATTTGATAGTTGCTGATAACTGCACCAACTTCACCAACATGAAATTCTGTAAGGAATTTAAACTGGCTGTTGATGCCTGTAACATTGGTGTGGGTGCCATGTTACCACAGGAAGTCAAGATGGGGGTTGAAGGGTATCATTTAGAAATTGGATTTTAAAATAGAGGCAAATGGACTTTGATCACTTCAGCGAATATACTTTGTTCTCAAAGATTTTCACTGTTCTAAAAAGTCACCTATACAATCAAATGCCTGGCAGGGCTCCTGTGGTGTTGATGGTCAGAATTTTATACTATGAAGTTTAGAAACAGACTAGAGGCAGTTAGTTTAGATTTTGACTTCAGTTCAGAAGGAAGAACAATTTTCTTATAATCAGAAAATCAAGTCTTCATCTAAAAGAACCAGTGTTTTTAGTTCGTAAAGCTTACAAGCTAAGAGAGTTTATATAGAAGTCTTGAAGATGTTAAAACTGGAAGTGCTTAGGCCATTAGAATTGTCAATGGGTTTGTCTCAGTAGACAGGAAGGGATTGTAAAACTGTCGCAGACAATCCAAGGAAGTGAAACAGAGCAGAGTCAGTCAAGTAGAAAAATTATTGTTGAGATGGGAGGGATTTCTCCTAGAGTTGAATGTCAGTAAAAGGATAGTGTTGGGAAATATGTTGGAATTTAGTTTTGTTGTTTTGTGTTTAAGGTCTTTCTAATTGTCTTATTATGGCTTTGTTTTGCCTTTCATGAAATAAACCTATGTTCTATTGTTAAAGAATATCAGCCTAGTGTGACTGTTTCGATAATTAACCACCATGGTAACTGACTGAAAAATGAACACATGATCTCTCAAGCCAGGTTTCTTTGGGATCTGACTGGTCCAATATTACCATCAGCTAGGATCATAACATCACAGTGTAAAACTATTCCCTGTTATGATATTCTTGCACATTTTCCTGATGAGTGCAAGTTGAAAAGCACCACTGTTTGTCTCGGTCATAGCTGGGAAAGAGGAGTGGCTAACACACTGATTCCATTAAAATGGAAAATGCTAGAAACGATCAGATCTGATGGTATCTGTTAAGAGAAACAGAATAACTCGAATCCCATCAGGGCCAAACCAACTACTTGAAATAATGCAGTGTTTTATTACAAATTGTTTTCTAGTATAGAGTCAGTGTAGCAATCAAACTCCTGCAATGCGAAGCTTTATTCCTAAACAGACGCTGTGTGTCAGTGTGAGCTGAAAATACCAGTTGCCTTCCCCAATATCTATCCTTTACAGCCTACTGCCAGCGGTTTTCTGCAGGCATCACACCACTGCCAAATAAAACTCTGCTACAATCAAGAATAGTATACTTCTAGAGGGATAAAGAGCACGCCATACTATTTTAAACTGATGTGATAAAATATTTCGTTACTGGCGCTTAAGTTTTTAAAAGCCTAATTATTTCAAAGACCAGTGTAGTATTACAGCATTGGACAGTAAGTGTTTATAATCTCTGTCCAGAGATAGTAAGAACTGCAGATGCTGGAGTCAGAGATAACAATGTGGATCTGCAGGAACACAGGCCAGGCAGCATCAGAGGAGCAGGAAAATTGACATTTCGGGTCCCAACCTGAAACATCCAACTTTCCTGCTCCTCTGTTGCTGCCTGGCCTGCTGTGTTACTGGAGCTCCACACTGTGTTATTTCATAATCTCTATCCAGTCTCATTTTCAACAATGGCTGGAATTAAGCCATTTATTGGAATGAGATTTGTAGCATTGCTGAATAATAACTGAAAATGGTCCACTTGAGGTGGATGAGAGGGCAACCTCTTTTTTGCTTTCTTTCTTGTTAGAATCATCCGTTGTTGAATATTTTTCTGGTTAAGAAAATGGGTATTAATACATCAGGCCCTACATGGAAAGTGCCAACTCAAACAACTGCTGATTGAGTGGAAGCTGCAGTATATTTTGGTTTCTGATAGAAGCTCTGTTTTTGAATTTATGTTCCTGGTCTCTTGTTCACAGGAGATCCAGCAGCAGAGAGCTGCACAGAAGCTTGCTTTTGCCTTCAATCAAATGAAACCAAAGACCATTCCATATTCTCCAAGGTGAGGAGAAATAATTGATCACTCTCTAAAAGTTTTGCATTTGTGTGTACTTCCATCCAGGTTTTTATCATTTATGAATTTGCTTCAATGAAAGTTTCACAGAATTGTTAATGTGCAGAGGTAGGCTATTTGGTGCATTGTTCCTGCACCACCTCTCAGAATTAACATTTGACTCAATGCCATTCTTCTGCCTTTTCTCCATCATACTAAAAATTACCTCTATTTACATAATCATCCAGCGCACTCTTGAATGCTGTTTTTGAACTCTGCTCCAATGCATTGCAAGAAATGCATTCCAGACCCTAACTCCTCCAATGAAAAAGATTGTTTTCTCACATTGCATTTCCTCCCTTTGCAAATGAGTGGGGGGCCCCACTGGGCAGCCTGGGGTTTGTGAGATGTTGGTGGAGCTTCACCGAGCAGCCTGTCGCTTTGTGAGTGAGGGGGTGGCTTCACTGGGAAACCTGGGGTGTTGTTGGGGGAGGGGAGAGCTCCCTGGTATAGAACAGGCAATGATGAAGCACAGGGAGGGGCCACATGTCAGAGAGAATGTGTCATAATGGTGCCAGTTGGGTCAGGATCGGTGAATGATGTTAAAATAAGTCACCTCACACTTGATGAGATTTCAGGCTCCAATAACTTTACAAAGGAAAAGTGCTAAAAGAGGACGAGTTGGATGAAGAATTCTTGTAGTTACAATGAAAAGGTTTACACATGCAGCTTCAATAATCATTGTGGATGTAGGAATTTATAATGGTCGTACAAAAATAAGAATTGGGGGGGTGGGCGGTGTCGTTAAAATAGTATCTGAGTGATGTCTGTGTCCTCTGCTCCAATTATCACTCAAATTCTAACACTACTTCACCTGGTGTCTAATACCAGGGCTTTATGCACTCTGAATCAGTTAGCGTTGTACAGCAAACCTGTCTGGCTGTAGTGTGATATTTTAATAAGCTGCAACTGAATCTGAAGGGAGAAATGTCTAATCTAAATTCCTAAAGTAATTGCTGAATGTTTGTTTTATCCTCAGATTCCTGGAAGTGTTCCTTCTGTACTGTCACTCAGCAAGCCAATGGTTTGCGATTGAGGAGTGTATGACCGGAGAGTTCCGGAAATTCAATCATAACAGTGGAGATGAGATCCGTCCAAACAACATGCTGGAGGAGACCATGCTTGCTTTTAGTCACTGGACTTATGAGTACACTAGAGGTGAACTATTGGTTCTGGACCTGCAGGGTGAGTGCATGTGACCTCTATGAGAAACTGAGGCAGTCTTGTATCAATATGTAGTGAGATGTTGGTATGTAATTGGGTATCCCCATGGCTTCATATTTGAATTTGAAAATTGCATTATGAATGGATCAACCACACTTAAACTCTTTATCAGAAAAAATGGTACATTGTAATTATTGAAAGTTTACACTAAATTGCCATACAAAAATCTCATGGAAGTAAGACAATGCTCCTGTATAGAGTTACTGACAGAATAGAGAAAACAAATCAAGAGCTAGTTAGTGAAACTTGTTTGGATGCCGTCCAGAAGTTTGGATCACTAAAACAACCAGTACTTGGACAGAAGAGCCTTTTTCTCTCCTCTTCCGTTGAACCGCATAAAATTTACTAGTTCCAAAAAAGTGTGTTTTTTTTACTCAAGTATTTTATAAATTTAACAAGTGGGGAAATAGGCAGGTTACAGTAGTTCCAGAGACTCTAGCTGCATGGGGAATCTGATTACAAAATCCAGACACTTTGTTTTGTGAAAAAATCAAGGATATTCATTGTTATGTACATTTTCTTGTAGGTGTTGGGGAAAACTTGACTGATCCTTCAGTAATAAAGTCAGAGGAGAAACAGTAAGTATTACTTTATATGAGACCTCCCTCCCTTAAAGACATAAAGATGGATTTAGTATAGGGTGCAGTACCCAGTCACCGTTTTAACTTGGAAACATAATGCTGTTCATTTGTCAGTGCCAATGGGGCCAAAAGTTTGGAATTCCCTCCCTTATGGCATTGTGGGTATAACTACACTAAATGGCCTGCTGCAGTTCAGGAAGGTAGCTCATCACCTTCTCAAGGGATTAGGGATGGGCAATAAATAGTGGCCTATCCAGTGAAGCCCATTTCCTATGATTTTTTTTTTTTAAATATAGGTCTGTATCAGTATCATTAGGTATCTTAGTATTGACAGGAACCTTTCCTCATGCTTCACAAGCATATTAGGTGAAATGTTGTTGGCATAACTGAAAGCCTGGTTACAACTAGATGGAGTCCGGTGTCCAGTTCTAAGCACTACAGTTTAGAAAGGAAATCAAAGCTTTAGAGAGAGTGTAGAAGAAGTTTACTTGAATAGTACCAAGCTTGAAGAACTCCAGTTCTCTGGAGAAGCTGGGATTGTCGCCAGAACAGAGAAAATTAAGAACCCTTTTAATAGAAGTATTGGAAGTCGTGAATAGCTCTGAATAGGTAAATAAGGAGGCATTGTTTCCAGTGACCATGTGGTTACTAATAAAATGATGCAGGTTCAAGATAATTGGCAAAAGAACCAGAGATGCCGTTTCTTTCAGACAGTGATTTGATGTCATCTGGAATACATTCTGCCAATGTGTGGGAACAGAGTCAAGAGTAACATTCAAGAGGGAAGAAAATTTTCAACCTGTGAGCAAAGAGCGGGGGAGTGAGATGAATTGGATAGCTCCACCAGGTGCTGGTACAGGCAGAATATGCTGATACCTGGTCCTTCTGCCTCCATACCCAACTGAAATAAGAACGAGAATGACGTCAGTTGAGCATATTTATGTTGGTGATATTTTTGCTTTTGGAATGTTGAATTTTAGCGAATTTACTAGAGTAAGAACTGTATGCAGTAAGTAGCTGGTACTGTCTGTATTGGGTTGTAATTGGAATATCATGACAATAACTACTGCGATTGAACAGAAATGTCAATATCAGCTCCATACCTTAATTGGCTTTTGTTTCTTATTCTGGAAATTGCAACATCAGTTAAATAATGGTTTGTAATATTATTGCTGCCCAAGAATGTAAGTAAATGAATCACACAGTCCTATAACCTTTAGGTAAAGGTTCACTACATTCTTTTCTAAAATGAATGGCCAACTTGATTCCAGTTGGATTTATGACGACTTCTGCATATTGTAATTATTTATAACAATTACTGGGTGTCCATCACTAGGTTAAGTGTCTTGTCACTGATAACGTTAACAGTGCTTCTCCAAATGCCATGAGTAATCTGATACCAGTTAAGCCATGATGCTTTTTGTGTCCATTTTCCTCATCTATATTTTCAATCATTTTAAATAATCTAGAGTCTGAAAAGCAAATGTTTTTTATGCTAATGGTTATGGTTCACACAGGTTTCCTACTAAGCTATCTGTTTTACCAATTTACATGTTTGATATTCAGTCCTAGATGAACTAACCTAGCGAAACATTGATGACCAAAGCCTTTATCTTTAGTCTGTACGCTCTGTACATTCACCATTGATTCTCTTCACCCACCCTAGCCTATTCAAAAGCTAGCCTCTGTTCCTAACTCGGTTCACCACTTGCTGTAACCGTCATACGTTCCTTTTCAGATCTTCCACCCAAAATTGAATTACTTCAGTGTCATCCTGCTGTCCTGCATCCCCAGTATAGCTCATCCAAATCTGTTGTACCTAACTTGACGTTTGTAAATTGCTGTGCCCCTCAAGAGGACTCCGGAGAACAGCTGAACAGCTGTTATAACTCTGTCAGAACTCCATAGCTGCCATTGCTGCTTGACAGCTCATGACCCCAGTTGGGGTCCTGTCCACCACTTTGAGAAGCCTTGCCATTTATAATTCTGTCCGTTTGTTCACCCATCACCTTGTTGAAGCTGACCAGCATTTGATTCCCACTGCCCCAAGCAAATGTTCCTATACCTGCACTTAAATCCCTCTTAGATTCCTTTCCCCTGTCTCTCTAACCTCTTCCTATTTTACAGCTCCCCCATTTCTCTGCTAACTCTCACCTCTTGTACACTCCCAACATTTTATCTAACCCCACCATGCCCAGTCTTTCCAAACGGGCAGCGATTGCACACTGGAATTTCCTCCCTTCAGTCTGTCTTCCTAAAGCCAATTGTTTGATCAGATGTTTGATCACTTCTCTTAAGCTTCTTTCACACTAGCTCTGAAGAACAGTTATACCAGACTTGAAATGTTAACTCTGCTTCTATCTCCGTACATGGTGTCAGATCTGAGTTTCCCCAGCTACCTTTTTTCACAGTCCTGTGAAGATCTAAGTTGAGGCTGTTTATAAAAGCTTAGTGACAATACAGAAGAGTCTGTTCAGCCCAATTAATCCATATTGGTATTTCATTTCTTCATGTGCAGCAGTCTTTGTCATGTGACAGTTCTGTTCCCACAGTCCCTTTCTTTCCTTCAAGCCCAGTCTAAATTTTTGTTCTAAATTGACATGGTCTCTGAGTCTTTCTCTAACTCCTTTCTGGTAATGTATTCCAGTGCTCTGTGCATATAAAAAGGTTCCTACCACTGTCTGTCAAAATACCTTGCATTTAAACTTCAATCTAGACTTCTTAGTCACTGGAAAGTTCCCCACACAGGTGAAGATCACAATGTCTCAGTAACATTTGCCACTGCATCAGAAGGTTGTGTAATTCAGCCCCACTTCAGGACTCGAATGTATCAATTAGGCTAACAGTTCAGTGTAGTACTGAGTGGTCTGTGGTGTGGCAGGCTTTTAGCTGAACGATTAATCCATGATTCAGTTTGCCCTTTCAGCTGTATGTGAACGATCCTGTTTTTGAAAAAAAGACAAGAGAGTTCTTTGTCTTAACCACTGGATTTCTCTGAACCAACATCGGTAAAACAGATGATAATTTATCTCATTGCTGTTATTGGGACCCTGATTTGCAAACTTGATTTCTCATGTTTTTGTACATTCCAGTGACTACATTTAGTAATATTTAATTGTTTATGAAACAGAGTTGCTGTGAGGTTATGAAAGGTGTTGCAAAATGCAAGTTCCTTATTCCTCTGTGCTGCAGTGATGATCTGCCAAAGCGCAAGTCCTTTGCTCATTTCTCCACTTCTTGATGTCCTGTGCTTTTCTTTATCTTGCTTGATGATATGAAGTTATATACAGTGAATGTCAGAGGAGACTTGGGAGTTCAGGCGCATGGAGCTTTAAAATGCCACAGGTGCAGAAGATAATCAAGGAAGCTAATGGAATGCTGATATTTATCTCTGAATGTCTGAGTATAAGCACAGAAGTTATGCTGCATTTATACAAAACCCTGGTTAGTCCCCCTCTGGGCAGTGAGTAGCTTAGGAAGGATATATTGACCTTTGAGGGAGCACAGTGTAGGTTTACAAGAATGATACCTGGATTTAAGGGGTTAAATTATGAGGCGAGATTATACAAATTAGGCCTATTTTCTCTAGAAGTTAGAACATTTAGCTGTGATTTGATCAAAGTTTTCAAGAAATTAACAGGAAGAAAGAGGGTAGATAAAGATTAAAATATTTGCTGTGGTTGGAAATTCTAGAATTAGCAGGCAGTGTCTGAGGATTAGGGCCAGACTGTCAGGAGAGATGTTAGGAAGCACTTCTACACACAAAGGGTGGTAGATGTTTGAAACTCTCTTCCACAAATGGCAGTGGATATTGGATCAGTATGCACGTTATTACGGGATATGGGCCAAAGGCAGGTGTATGGAATTAGGCCACAGATCAGTCATGATATCATTGAATGACAGAACAGGCTTGAGGGGGCTAAATGGCTTACTCCTGTTCCTATGTGTTCTTAACAGCTTGAGTCAAATTATCACTCTTGTAAACCTACATTGTGCTCCCCTCCCCCCTCCTCCCAAGGCCAGTATATCCTTCCTAAGGTGTAGTGCCCAAATCTACATTCAGTACTCCCAAGTTGGGACTAACCAGGGTTTTGTATAAATGCAGCATAACTTCTGCGTGATCATACCATGGTATATAAAGATAAAGATCAGCATTGTTAGCTTTCTTGATTATTTTATGCACCTGTCATAGCATTTTAAAAATCTGTGCACCAGAATTCCCAAATCGCCTCAGACCTTCACTAGATTTAACTTCATGCCATCAAGAGCTTCCCATTTTTAATGAATAAATTTGACTGGGAAAAGAATAGATGAGGTGCTTTCTTTCTTTTGCCCTCCTCATACCTGCTTAAAGGAAACCAGTCTTTCTCCCAAAGTAGCATCTTCTGCCTGGAAGCAGGTGGGTGTTTGTTGAGGTCCCGTCCACTCCACCATCGCTTACTGATCTGGTGTTGACTTCTACTTGTGATTGTTAACGTGATCCTTATGTGAGCCCTGCCTCAAAAGGCAGGGATGCACCCCAGGGTCTGTCATCACTTTGCTACTGTTCTCCTGTCCAATCCCTTCATAATCTTAAACGTGAATCAAATCCCTTAATCTACTTGTTTTAATAAAAGTTTCTTCATGTTCACATTTGCTCAAACAAAGCAATGTTTTCATTAATTTTGCCATATTCTATTGCCTCAACATGCAACTTTTATTATATATTATTTGGGGACGTGATGGCCTAGTGTATTATCACTGGACTGTTAATCTGGAGACCCAGATAATGTTCTGGGGACCTGGGTTCAAATCCCGCCACAGCATACAGTGGAATTTGAATTCAATAAAAATCTGAATTTAAGACTGTAATGATGACCATGAATCCATTGTCAATTATCGGAAAAATCCATCTGGTTCACTAATGTCCTTTAGGGAAGGAAACTGCCATCCTTACCTGGTCTGGCTTACATGTGACTCCAGACCCACAGCAATGTGGTTAACTCTTAACTGCCCTCTGGGCAATTAGGGATGGGTAATAAATGCTGCCTAGCCAGCGATGCCCTCATCCCATGAATAAACAAAAAAAAAACAAACAAAATTGCACCCCATGTTTTTAACTTTTCTAACATGACCTGACTAAAATGGTTGCTAGTAAGCTGTATGTTACACGATCTGGTTTATGGCCGTATCGGTTTGACAGTTAGAAGGGAAACCATTTTCAGTGTGTTTGTTACTCACTGATTTAATAGTGGCTGAATATTTTGCTACTCGGAGAACGCTGTATCATGAAATGTAGCTGAAGTGCTTTGAACCTGCAAACAGACTTCAAGCTTACAGCTGTCTGTGTACATTGTGAGAGAATCAGCAAGGTGACTGCTGTAATCAGATTTATTATTTTGTTTTTAGGTCACATGACATGGTATTTGGACCCGCAAATTTGGGAGAAGATGCAGTTAAAAATTTTAGAACAAAACATCGTTGTAATTTGTGCTGTGGAAGGCTCAAACTTCCTGGTAAGCTTTTTCTGAAATGCTTCCACACCCACTCCACCACCTCTTCACTCCCCTGCCTCCTGCCTCCCTGTGTCCATCCTCTTTTCCCCTTGGTCGCACCACCCCCTGGTGTGATCCCCCTGCTCTCCCTGTGCTGGGCAGTTACTTGCTAAGTCTTCGTGACATGATACTTCACCTAAGGATCAATCTCCTGAATGGGCCGCAGTAGTAACTGGGTTGTTTGATCATATGCAACAAGCTTGAATTTCCAGCAGCATCAACAGGAAAGAGCAGGAACTCTATTGGATTCCCTTGTGAACCTCAGGTCAGTTGTATAGACTTTCACGTAGAGCTTAACTCACCTGGGGTTTAAGTAACTCAATAAAGAAAAAAGGACAGGAGGAGGCCATTTAGCTTCAAGTCTGTTCTGTTTGATTAGATTGTGGCTGATCTGTGACCTACTCCTTTGTTAGATTTTATTGTCTAAAAGTATCCGTCTCAATTGGTCTTTGCCATTTATAGGAAAGTTTTAAAGACTAACATACTTTGTTAGAGGTGTTTCGAGATTTCACGCCTCAAAGTTCTAGCTGTCATTTTTATTCTGTGACCCAGAATTCTAGATTCCCCACCCAGCAGAAGTAGTTTCTCTTCTTACTCTACGTGTTGTCCTTAGTATCTTAAGTATGTTTGATCAAATCTCCACTTTATCTGCTAAATTCCAAGAAACAGAATTGTAGTTTGTGTAATCTACCCTCAAAATTTAATTTTTGAAGTCAAGCTGTCATTCAGTTAAACTGCATTGCTTTCCTTTGGGGGCCAGTGTAAATATTTTGTAACCTGTTCAGAGATGTTGTGACACACCCCTTGGAGCAGATGGGACTTGAACCTGGGCCTCTTGGTTCAGGTTCACTACCACTGCACCAGAAGAGCCCTTCAGGACTAATCTATCCTTGCAAAAAGATGTGGTACCCAGAACTGTTCAATGCAATGATTGAATATGAAAGATTTCTTGTCAGGGTGAGAAATTGGTTAAATATCAGAAACAAAAGAATGATATTAAAGGAGTTACTCAACCAGCAAATGATTTGCAACATTGTAGAAATAGTGCAAACAAAGAAAGGATTGTGCATTGGCTTGAAGAACTCAATGCTGATCTGACCGGAAGTTGAACAAATCGGTGGAAGATGAATTATTTTTGTTTTTGTTTTTGTTTTTGTCATCCCACATGACTTCTCGAATAACTGAGTTTAGGGAAGTGTTTTTATTGCTTCATAGCTGCAGAGCCACATTCCATCAGTCTGTGGTGTGGCTCCCTCATGCCTAATACAGGCCTCTTGTGTGGAAATATTTGGAAACATAAAATGTTAAATGACAGTCAGAGGCCCTTCAGCCTGTAATATCCATAATAGCTTTTTGAAAGGGTTCACTTTTTGTTTCCACATTATTTCCCTCAAAATCTGAAATTAATTTTCTTCCAGCATATGTTAAGTTGCTTTTTGAAAGTTACTTTGAAATTATTTCCATCACCTTTCTGGGATATGAATTCCATCTTGACATTGTATCTTGTTTCCACCTCCACACCCTTCCGCCTATTCTCAATCATAAGTGAAGACATGGGAGTTGCATGGTAATGCTGTGAAGTGGCACTTACACAGCAATAATCTGCTCAACACAGCTCAGTATTAGTTCTT